ATGACGCCCCCCCGCTCACCATGAGCATGCAGAAGTCGGGCAGGTGTCCCGTCATGCCGAACACGGTGGTCTTGAGGTACTTCTCATGGCCGGCCAGGTCGATGAAGGTGATGACCTTCGACGACTTCTCACAGATTTTGGTCCAGTCGAGGCCGCCGCCGTGGCTGTCCGGCTTGTTGACCACCTGAAGGAGCCCAAGCAGAGGGCGGAGAACGGGAGACGATTGACACGGCACGTCAGAGAAATAAAAAACGATCCACAATGCCTGAAAAGTCTCCACGAGAACTGATTCTGACTAAATATGACGGAAAGCAGAATCCTTCCTGTCGTTTGTCAGTGTGGAGAAAGTCTGTAAATGTTTGCATATCCTTCACTTGTGAGCAACGTGAGACGCACCACGACAACTGTGCCTTTGGTTGCTGCGGAAACCCGGCGATGTAACGCTGGGGTTATTTAGCAGGAGTGACGTATGCTAGTGGAACCAAAGCCTTTGAGGAAGAAGATGCTGAGCTGTGACTCTGTTCGTTGAGCTCGTGCAGCAGAAGCTCACCTGTCCCTCCTGGTCAAAACCCAGGATATCATTGCCCACACTGCTGGTCCTGCCACTCTCCATCTCATGTTTGTGTCTAAAGAGCTTCTGGCGAGCAAAGCCTCTGCCATTGTCCAGCTCACCGTGGGTCAAAACCCCCAGCAGGGTGCTCTTCCCCGCGTCCACGTTCCCTACCACCGCAACCCTGGAGACAAGAGGGACAAAGTGTGAGCAGCGACACGCCTCCTTCTCCCAGCGCACCGGTGAACACTGCGGAGGCTTTGGAGAGGAGCGGTGCCACCTAGTGGCGGGTTTGCGGAGTGCCGTGTGCAGATAAACAGCTCAGCTTTAAAAGTTAACCAGAGCGCAAGCATGCTCAGCGTCATGTGATTAAACAGTGATGAAAAGACAGTTGTGAATATTATATTACATGCATGCTAAAAGGCCCCTTGGAGATGCTACACATCTTAGCACAGCCGATTACACACAACACACGGAGGTGAAGAGACATGTGAAAGTCCAGCAGCAAAGACCAGGATCCACTGAATGCCCGGAGACGGAGACGGAGACGGACAGGTGAGCCGATTACTTACAGCTAAACGGAACTCAATTACAAACTAGAATGCGGCTTGGTTTTTTCCTGGATGTTACCTGACTTCCAGGAAGTCCTGCTCGCCCACACGCCGCCGGATGAGGTAGTCCCGGATCCTCCCGCCGGTGTCTGTCCTCTCTCTCAGCAGGATCAGGTCGGCCTCGATCTGTTCACACAGAGAGCGCACCGTGGCCACCGACGCCTCCATGTCCTTCTCGTCCAGGCCATAGTCGCCCCCGTCTGAATCCGAGAGGAGGAAGGGAGACCGGGAGAGTTACCGAGAAAGGAGGAGCAGAGGGCAGAGGGAACCGCCGGATCCGTCCCGAGCACCCGATTAGAAAGGGAGGACAAAAAGCGCCTCAAAGAGTCAATAACCCGCGGCTTTTTACAAGTTTTGCCCGGGGAGCCATTAGGGGGTTGGGTGTCTTGCTCAGGGACACTTCAACATGGGGCAGCTGGGGTTCGGGCCGCCAACCTTGCGCTTCCCGGCGCTCCCTCTCTACTCCTGCGCCACCGTCCCACCCGCCAGGACGTCAGCTTGTGGATATTTAAGTATTTTTCAGGGAAGGAACCAGAGTTAAGAAGTGGCTCACTGTTGCTTCCCTCGATACCTGCAGCCGCCCACGGAGCAGCGGCGGGGGTCAGGGGAGGTCAGGGGGGGTCAGACGGCTCCCCGTCCAGACAAACACAAAGTAGTGAACTATTGACATTCAGCCTGCTGACTCGGGGGAAACGGACACCCTTTCACGGAAACACGTGCTGCTGCGCCGGGCAGAAAATAACCCTCCTGTGTGCGTGTGTGTGTCGGACTTCAGATGAAAGGCCAACAGCAAACAAATGCTGAAGCTGCATGAATCCTAAATATATTAACAAATCCCACCTCAGCCTTTAAAGAAAACGTTCATCTCCCGTCATGTTTTCGTTTCACTTAATCGCTGGAAGCTTTACACGCTTTACAACAAACGTTACACAGACGCAATCATTTCGCATATAACGTCACAATCTTTTGCTAGATCACAACGTAAATAGTAAAACCAACCTGAGACCTAGGTTGACCTACGCGTTTGCTCAAATGAAAGGTACCTGAGCCCATCCCAACCACGTAGATGGTCTCTCCACAGCCTTCGTCGATCTGCTCCCTCAGGTGCCGGAGCAACGAATCGTACTGCTCCCCCGATGGGCTCACTAGAACCAGCTGGAGGGGGAAACAACAGGGAAAGACTTAAACAAAAGACCTGCTGGGCGTCTACAACATGCAACATGTTCATGAGCAGAAGCTAACAAGTAAGGATGCATTTTACTTTAAAGTCGTTGTTGTTGTTTGTCTGCAAATGACTGCAAAGTGCGCTCACGGTGACGTGCCGGCTGGTTGCACAGTTACATACGTGGTTACTTACGTGTCACTTTTCTGCCGTTCTGCAACAACGGGGATGACGTAATAAGACTCCCGCACCGGGTTCTCCTTCGCGTATCAAAACAAACGGAAGCCCGGCGGGAACAAGCTTTGAACGCGCGTACAGCGGGCGGTTTACGGCGAGGCCCACCTTGTTGCTTAAGTGCAAGCGATCCGCGGACTCGCCGTTCGTGCCCTCGCCGTCTTCGAAGTCGTCCGTGCCGGATAGGTCGTCGCCACATCCCCGGTCCGGTGCGAACATGCAAGCGGGCACTACGGACTCCGCGGCCGGTGTCGCGCCCGGGCACGCCGCTGGTTCTGTCGCCGCTAACGACGCCATTTCTGGAGGAATGAAAAACAAAACAAAACAAATAGAAAATAAATAAACGAAACGTATTTCTGTCATTTGGCTACATTAGCTAGCGTTTAACCATTAGCATAGTCATAGAGTTAACGTTAGGTTGACTATCACAGCTAGCTAGCGTATGCTAACCAAACACCGAACTTGCTGTTAAACCCTTTTAAAATGAGGAACAATAAAACAAAAAATCATCGCCAAAGCTAAACGTCCAAGCTGTCCGAGTGAAAGCGGTTAATGAACCCGAGCTACATCATTTAAATCCCTCATAAAATGAAGACGTACCAGAAGTTGCTAACTAGCTGAGGAGCTAACTTAGTTTCTACTCTGGTTAGCTACTGTTTCTGTCCACCGAATGCAGGGCACGCCCATTGTAGAATGGAGGCCGGTGATTGGCCACTTTGCTCACAGGAACGCCCACTGTGATGACGCGGCCATATCGTCGGCGTGGCTGCTGCGCGAAGCCCGTGAAATGACCCCGTCTGTGACAGTGAAACCCACGTGCGCCTCTGTGACGTATCACACTGAATACCCGTGAAATTAAGATTTTACTGAGTGACATGACACACCAACGGAAACAGACATTAACTTGGACTCATTGTCACACTGAAGTGAATAAATGTATTAGGGTCATTTAGTAGTTTTCAAACATGAATACATGAAGGCCAATAAAGGAATAATTTTGCTGGGGTTTCCCCCTTTCATCTTTTTCCGGTTCCGTAATTTTTGCATATATTTGAACGTGAAACGTGTGATAGCGGCGTTCCTTCGGTCCCGGACATTATTAAGCCGCAATTGAGCTGCAGACACGCCGAGTCCGTTTCCTTGACGCGAACGACAGGAGATCTTTAGGTTCTTTTCGATTGGTGTTTATTTCCGCAACAAAAAACGTTAAAAAACATATTAAAGAAAGAAAATAAAGGGGGCGTCATGCCAACATTTATATCCAAGAACATCCAATATAAACAATACACACACTTCAGGCTCTTACACATGTGATTATAGTTCTTTATTCATATAAACATATCTGTTCATATTAACATGCTTTGCCTTATAGGTTTTAATGCTAATAGCTATTGCAATAAACATTTAACCTGTACATTTTAATGAATAGAATATATAACATTTCTTTAATATGTCGGTGACAGATTTCATATTTCTGTGGATTGGTATTTTTTTTATTCATCGTGATTTTGCGTCACATTTTGCTCCTTCAAATAGGGCTCAAATGAACTCATTATCACAATGTAAACTTCTCTCTTAATTCAGCCATCAACAGGATCAAATACATTGAATATTGCACATAAGCCCTCAGAAGTCATGGATTTATCAAGTAAAGGCAGTGCAATGACGACGTGAGTCAATAAGTAGCCAGATATTAAGGTTCAACCTGAGGACACACCGAGTCACGTTAACTAAAAAAGGAAATATGACTTAATCACGACTTTAACTGATGCAAATGTGCATTTATTCCTTCGCGCTGGCGAGAGCTGATCCAAACCCGCCGATGACCGGAGGCCGAGCCTCAGTCAGCTCCATTCAGGGGCAAAGATCAGCGCGTCTCTTCCTGATTCCCGTCGTCGGCAGCTTCCCGCCCCTCCGGCCCCTCCGGCCCCTCCGGCCTTATAAAGCCGCTCACCTGCTCGCAGCGCCTCCTCACCGCAGACGCCACCCGCTGAAGACGAGATGGTAAGAAGCAAACCCCTGCACCGCTCGCCGGGCCTCCTCACGGGGGTTCCACAGAGTCTGTGCTGCCTCCTAGTTATTATCTTAACAGTATGTTAGTATTTTTAACACCGGTTCACTGGATTTAGAAGAATTAGCTTGAATTCAAGTGTTTGTTAGCGCGTGTCTACTTTTAGTTTGATTAATAGTTAATCTTGTCATTTATTAACATTTTTTCCAACGGGACATGTGATCATTTACTAAGTAAACTAACATGGGAACATATATATATATATATATATATATATATAAACATGATGGATGTTACACGCTGCTCATACCGTTCACTGTGAGACTGTGCTGAGCGGTCGATGCTGAACCACGGTGGACCTGGACCTGGTCTGCTGTGGGGTCTATGGGAGTGGTCCCGGTCTAATGGGTCCATGATGACTGAAGTTCATGTGTAACTCATTTCAGAGAAAAAGTCCCAGCTTTCAGATATGAGGAACCAGTGAATGGGTTTTATTGTTTTATTGGTCTGTGAGAATCAGGTGTGTTATCGGGTCTGCTCAGCCACACCCCCCCAGGTGTGTGTGTGTGTGTGTGTGTGTGTGTGTGGGGAGTGTGCGTCTGCACACCTGCTGGGGTAGAAGGCGGATGTGTGGCGGCGTTTTATGCTTCTACTGCCCGTGTGACATGTGGAGGAACAAACACGTGGTTCCTGGTCGACGAACCTCCTGCCTCTAAATGACCACTTCTTCATTCAAACGCTCAGAAACGTCTCCTCAGACTCATTGTACTGTTGTAATAAAAAGGACAAACGGTTTGGCTGGTTTACTGGGGCTCAGATCTATCAGATCATTTTCAGTAATGATCCGGATCGACTCACCGTCTGCCCCTTTGTCTCCTCCCTGCAGAAAGTCAAGAACATGACCTTCAAGGAGGGGCAGGAGTTCAAGGTCCGCATCAGGCCCCAGGACTCGTGCAGCTCGTGAGTGAGAGTCCTCAGATGGACAGCAGGTCCACCGTCCACCTCACTTCCTCCTCCGCTTCCTCCCCCTTTTTGACCCCGCCCTCCCTTTCTTTCCCCCGGCAGCTTCGCCATCAACATCGGCCACGACTCGGAGAACGTGGCGATGCACTTCAACGCTCGCTTCGACTGCCAAGGCGACACCAACACCATCGTCTTCAACTCGCTGTCCGGGGGCAGCTGGGGCGACGAGCTCCGCGAGGGGAACTTCCCCTTTGTGCGCGGCGAGGAATGCAAGGTGGGACGCCAGCGGGGAAGTCCTCCGCTCGCTTTGGCTTCCATGAATCTTCGCGTGTTCTTTGCGTGTGTTTTTAATTCAAGAGTAAAAGGTGCACGCGGTCATATCTGCTACGGCTTCTTACCCGACGTCACCGCAATCTTCTCACTTTCCAGAGGTCAGGTGGGACAATCAGGCGGCCTTCTTCTGGTTTCATCACGGCTCAGGCCACAAAGGCCCAAAGCCTCTTAGCTGCGATTACGTTGAACAGTCCGTCGTCGCGCGTTTACGGGCTCATAAAACCTGACGATCCGTCTGATTGGTTCACACCACTAACTGAAACCCGTCCTCTCCAGTTCCACATCAACTTCAACAACGAGCAGTTCTACATCAAGCTGCCCGACGGCTCCATGCTCAACTTCCCCAACCGGCTGGGAGACGTCAAGTACCAGTACTTCGACGTCAGCGGGGAGGCCAGGATCGTCGGCATCAAGATCAAGTAGAAGCCCTCCACCGTGTGCCGCTTTACACCAAAGGTCCCACCACGCAGCCACGTGGTGCTGAGATGAAATGACCTGCAGGGGGCAGCGCGCCTCGCCAGTAATAAATGCTGTGAAGAAAAGAAAAGGTGTCTGTGTGCGTCTCTCACACACTGGAACTTTAATCCACACGTGATGTTCGTTCTGTTGTTGAGTATCAGGCGGCTTTACAGACCGTGAAGCTTTTGGTGGATCACTTTGCAATTAAAAGGAGATGATATTAAAGTACAAATTTCAATTTAAAACAAGATTGTGCAGAAAAAACAACCATCGTTATTTAATGAATGTTATGAAGGTTTTCCTTCATTTTGCTTCAGTAGCTTCTTAGCAAAATACATATTTAGGTGTTTAATGTACCACATTGTTACTATTACTAATGCATTTTTTAGCTAAACATTCAAAACGTGTTTTATTCCATTGTCTGAATGTAAGTGATCAAGTGTGGAATTTAAAGAGCGGTGAGATATATTCACTTAATTGATTTAACTCCCTTAAATATCTTCATCTTAAACCGTTCTCCCAGATCGTTTGCACGAGGACTCAAAGGAGCGGCAGGCGAGGAATGTGGCGCCATGCGACTGCATTCCCAGAGGAAATGCCTTTACGTGTGCGTTGGTGTGTGTGTCTTTATGTGTGTGTCACCTGGTTGGCACATAGAAGACTGAAGGGGGAACAAACCTTCTTGATACTTCATTTGGTGAAATGATGACAAAGTTCAGAACGCTTGTGAAGCGACTGTCAGCGGAAACCTTTTAAATCATTTGAACCCAAATATCAAACGTCCTTTTATGGATTCTCGTTGTCCGGGTGAATAAGATGTTGTAGGTCAGGCTTTCCACTGTAGTCCACCAGGTTACGTTCACATATATACACATACACTTATGTGCTTAAATGTTTTTGTTCTGTTTGTTGAGTCAAATTCCATAATGTATTAAATCGATTGTAACACAGGACGCGTGTACACACACACACCGACCCCCACAGGACCTTCTCACAAAGGCAAATCTGTCCCGAGCCGCGAAATGCCTCCGCGACTCGTCCGTCCACTGGGCGACACGGGGTCGGCCCTGCTGGAGCCCACGGACCGACCTTTCTGGGCCAGGTAGTCTTTGTAGTTGCGTGTCAGCAGGGTGTAGAGGAAGGGGTTGATGCAGCTGTTCCCGTAGGTCAGACACGTGACCAAGAAGTTCACGTAGTTGTGGGCGGCCGGGGACAGCGACGTCAGGGACTCTGGGGAGAACATTTTGGCCAGTTGCCACCCCCAGAAAGGCAAGAAACAGGCCCAGTAGGCCACCACGATGCAGAAGATCATGGACGCCACCTTCAGCTTGAGCGCCCTCCTGCAGGCGGGCCGGCTGCTGCCCCCTAAGCCGGCCTGCACCGCCCAGTAGCGCCCGGCCAGCCCCACGTACAGACCCGCGATGACCAGCCCGGGGACCAGGACGCTGGAGAGGAACAGGACGGTGATGTAGGCCTTGAAGGCCTCGGGGGTCCAGGTGGGGAAGCAGATCCTCCTCTCGCCCTCGCTGAGTCGGACCATCGCCATCATGGGCAGCGTCAGCGCCAAGGACAGCCCCCAGATGGCGCCCGCCGCCAGCCTCCTCCTCCTCCGCGCCGAGGACCTGTGGGCGCTGAAGGGCCTCGCCACGGCGCGGTAGCGCTCCAGGCTCATGGCCACCAGGATGAAGACGCTGGCGTGCACGGTGAGCAGGTCGAGGCTCAGCAGGACGCGGCAGCCGGCCTCGCCGAACAGCCAGTCGTGGGCGAAGTAGGTGGCCACCACGAAGGGGATGGTGGTGAGGTACAGCAGGTCCGCCAGGGCCAAGTTGACGATGTACACGTACATGGAGCCGGACCGCCGCAGCGCGGCAGAGCGGGCGACGGCGAGCGCGTACGCGTTGCCCGCCACGCCCGCGGCGCACATGGTCGTCAGCGTGCCGCCGAGCAGGAAGGTCACCCAGAGGCCCCCGCCGCCGGCGGTCCCCTGGGGCCCCCCATCTGCGGCCGGGGCCAGCTGTGGCGCGAGGGTGGCATTACGAGTGCAGTTCATCGCAGGGTCACAGATCAAAGGGTCAGAGGTCGAGCTCTATCCATTCAGAGCCAAGTCACGCGGCGCCGCCGTGTAAAGGTTTTAAAGTTTGTGGGAACATCTCATGAAGCCCGGAGAGGAACGTGAAGGCTTCTAAAATATGTCCCCCGCCGCCACAGCGAACCCCAGAAGTCAGCTCCTCCACTCGGCCGCGTCTCCATCCCGCGAACCGCCCTCAGGCTCCCCGAGGCGAGGCCGCGTCCGGCGACACCCTCACCCCGTCGCCTCCAGAGGAGGATCCGGTCATTGCGCCGGGGCTAAAGGTCGTTTCTCCGTCCGGGTGTTCCACCTGCGTGAGGCTCCTCCGTGGTGGAGCGTTCTGTTCTTCTGGTCCGTCTCTCCTCCCGTCCTCGTCTCTCCTCCGTCTCTTTCTCACCAGGGTGAAAACGGCCTAAAGACTTATGAGGAATTTTCGCTCGGGCCTCTCGGTCTGCTGACACTCCCTTTTTTTTTTTTTTTCTTCTTAAGACGCGTTCTTGATGCATGATGTTTAACGAACATGTGCCGCTCTGTGTGTTGTATCTCTGCATTACCTTATTATGAATATTAATGAAGAAATCACTGCTCTTGAATATATACATATGGTCTGTACAATTTGACACAAACAAAGAGAATATGTTTATTTGTCCAGGTGCACTGGATGCGTTCAGGGTGAGACACAAATGAACTGAAAACTGTGTGTTACTCCTGAATTTGTGCATTAATGTGAATGGAGATTCTGTGACCAGTTCCAGAGGAAACATATTTATTGGTGATCATCAGTATGAGTTACGTCAGCCAGCCATGCTCAAGTGTAGAACGCCTTTAAAAAACAAATCAGAAACAGAAACGGTAAAGAAAAAAGAAATACCATAGAAATGTATCAATAATTGGTTTATATATAAAAAGACAGGGAAAGTAACTTTGTGCCGCGCGCCACATGGAGGCGTTGTTGGACCGCGTTGGATGCGTACTCAAACTACAAAATCAGCATTTGTCCTCAGCGCGATGAACGCTGTCCAACACCTTCCACTTCCTGTGTTACCCAATAAGCAGCTCACGTCAAATACTAATACACAAGACGACTTAAAGCTCACTGTGATTATATAATAATAGCAACCGCATTATTGTTCTCTTACCATGAAAAAAATACATCAGTGGCACACAGGATAATTTTTACACTACAGTAAAATACCAGTAAAATACCAGAGCGTTTACAAAATTGTGTGGTAATCACTTTCTAGTCATTCTAGTGTGAGAAATGGCCTCGTCCTGTTATATCTAATCCAATGAGTGATGGAGGTCATATCTGTGGCAACCACATGCTCAGAGGCAGAAGTGATGAGGGTCCTGAGTGGAGGAGAGAGGGGGGGTGAGGGGGTCCTGCTGGTCCTCTGCTCCATCAATGCCTGTGCTTGAACAAGGCTTCCACTTTAATACAAATCAGAGTCAAAAGTTAGAGAGAAATGTTCTTCTACCCACGGAGACAAGTCATTTGATTCTACATTTATTTTTATTACCATTTTTTTTGTGGTTTATTATTCATTTCACAGCTTAAAAAAAGGCCACTTACCAAAGAAGTGACCAGTGGCTGATTACAAAAGAGCAATAGCTCAAACATGAAATATTGTGAACTCCTACTTGTGTACTCCTGAGGGGACATCACAGCGTTGATGACATCATTGAAGTGTTTCAGCCAATCCTGCTGGTCGCTCTCCGACTCGCAGGTGAACAGGAAGCTGCGCTCCGGAGTCACTATGGTGATGCCGTGTTGCCAGGAGCCGTTCCAACGGGTGCCGGCCGGCAGCCCGGGGGAGGCGCTGTAACCGTGGTCCTTGTTACCCAGGAACGCCTCACCTTTGGCAAAGGCGTCCTTGGAAGAGACGGGAGGAAGACGGAGGATAAAACGCTTGTGGATTCAGGCCACGGTGTCAGGAAGTAACAAGTGTGGTTCTTCTTAAGTTTAGGGATTCTCAAAGCTACAGAACTGTCTTTTTCAGCCCAACCCAACCTATCCCAGCCCAACCTAGCCCAGCCCAACCTAGCCCAGCCCAACCTATCCCAACCCAACCTAGCCCAGCCCAACCTAGCCCAGCCCAACCCATCCCAACCTAGCCCAGCCCAACCTATCCCAACCCAACCTAGCCCCGCCCAACCTAGCCCAGCCCAACCCATCCCAGCCCAACC